GAGGCGTTTTCGAGTCCCTATGGGAACGGCTCTTGGAGCGACGACTGCCCGATCGGGAACGTTTGCGGTCTCGGGAACGAGATCGCTTCTTATCTCTTGATCTGGACCGTTTCCTGTCCCGAGATCTAGTCCTTTTGCGATCCCTTGACCGAGATCTTTTGCGATCTCGTGACCTTGTCCTTTTTCGGTCTCTGGATCGAGATCTCTTTCTATCCCTGGAACGAGATCTCCTGCGAGATCTTGAGCGTTTCCTTCGAGATCGCGAACGTGACCTGCGCCGCGACCTCGAACGATCGCGCTTTCTTTCTCTAGATCGCGTTCTTTCCCTTTTCTTTGAGGGAGACCTGTCTTTCTCCTTTTCAATGTCTTTTTCTGGTTTATCGTCTGCGGGCGTCGACGCTTTGGACTTTACTTCAGAAGAATTACTATTACCATTTGTTTCTGGCGCTGCTTCTGGTTTAACTTCTTCTTTTACTTCCTTTTCCACTTCTTTAGGAGGTGATTTAGATTTATCCTTCTTCTCCTTTTCAGTGGAGTCCTTCTTGTCTTTACGATCCTTGTCTTTGTCCTTATCTTTGTCTTTGTCTCTGGAGCGGTCGCGTTTGGAACGCGAACTGCGGTGCCTAGACCGGGACCGTGACCTCCTGGAACTGCGGTGACGGGAGCGAGATCTGTAAAGAGAAAAAAATAAATTATAAATAACGATAATAACAACAACTTGATCACACAATCGGTTTTAAATGCTTCATGCTCGTATATACAATTAGACAATAGACACATACATAGGCTAACTTAATACCATTGACGTTTTCTACCAGTTAACATTTTGATTACCATGCAAAAATCAACTGCATGCTTTACGTATGGGAAGAATTTACCCGCCACTCAAATAGGTTAGTAACATAATGAATTGAAGTTATAGTTTACACCCACATAGATATTAGTTTTTTCAGTATAGTACGTTATTATGTAGTGTAAAATTAATCAGTGGGTGACCAGGCAGTAATATGTATTTATCCCATAGCTACACACAAACACAACACACATATATCCGTTCCCACCACCCAGATAGTTTCAGCCGTTTCAATAGGTTGAAGGCTATTGAATCGGGTAAAACTGACCTAGACCGGTGCTTGTGACGTGACCTGGAGCGACGAGAGCGATGACGGGAGCGTGAGCGGGAACGCTTCGAGCGGTGACGTGAACGCGACCGACGGGAGCGGGACCGAGACCGTCTCCGAGAGCGGGAGCGAGACCTCGTCCTGAAAACAAGATAATTCAAATTTAAAATAAGCCATAAAGTTTAACTATGATAATGTACTTTTTATCTCATTTTGTCAGTGATTTATTGAAATTTTCATACACATTGGTCTGAAATTGTGTCCACCTCGAGCATGCATGGTGATAACATATTGCAAAAATACTTCTCAATATGATAGAGAACCTTCACAAATTAACACACAATAAAATTGCATGCTGGTCTCTTTTTGTTTGATATTGCTTGATAACAACCTCGAAGTAACAATTTATTGACTTTCACCGAGGGTTTGATATCAATTTAGGTATATTTGAGGATTTAGATTAAATGTTGTGACATTGTTTATGTTTTATACATACACAGTACCATAATAATAAATGACTCATGGAAAAATTGCAAGTTACAATATACCTCTTAACTATGATATTGCCTAAAGTTATGCAATAAAGAAAATTCTGATTTACTCAATAATGAGAAATAAAAGGTTATTTAGAAATAACATTTAAAAAACTAATCATTGCCAACCTATTAAAAAAAGGCTGGTCGCTGAGCAAAGGCCTTTTTGTACAATGAGACTGTTTGATCATTAATTACCATGGATGCTCAAGGTGGATTTGTGATTTTAAGTAAATTTTAGTGAATTCTAAATCAACTTAGAAAGTACACAAAACTTTAAAAAGTAATATTATCACATGACAAGTTGGGTACCCACATCGGCATGTATGAGAAGCAGACACCTTAGCCTCTTAGGCTACCTAAACTTTTAAACTCATGCAAATCTACTTATATAACTACATATTAAGGTAATTATTTCATAATTTGTTGAAAGGTAATTTCTGAACGAGCTGCTATTTATTGAGTAAATCAGTATTTTTATAATTGCATAACATTAGGAAATTTGTTTTACTTGTAAGTAACACAAACACAAAGTAATGTATACTTATAACAAAAAGCAATATCTATGTACAATGTACATATGTATATATGACCAGTAAGACATCACCTAGACACAAAAATGATTCAATGATTTCAAATAGAAAAGTCTACAATATTTTTTACCAAGATAGAATTATAATACAGTCTACAATTAGGTTTTTTCTTTAATCAAATGCAAATTATTTTGTCTTATCAATACCATTGTATTGACTATATTAACAGGCATCTTTCAATTTGACTTTATCTAGAAAAAAAAAGGATGCTCTTTGACATGAATGTAGTATAATGAGTATAGTTTTTTACATAATGGTAAATGATTTTAGTTTACATATGTTATGCTTAATATTTACATAAAAACACTAGCCACGGAAGAAATCTGAATAAATTAAATACATTTATGTAAGATTTCAAATGTCTTACCTTCTTTTATCCTTAGACAAGAGACCAATGACAGGGTCAATAGCAGCTGAGATTAAGTTTTGCGCTTCCTTCACCCTGCACATAGCTTCCTCAATTTCCCGCTGCGCTGCCTCATTACTCTTCGTTTGTGGTTTGCAAATGGCTTGTGTTGCATGGTATACCTGTAACATTTGTAAAATTATGTTATTTTTAGATCCTTAATAAATAAATTTGCTCCCACTATTATTAATTTTATTATTCCTTTTATTTTCTTTTGTTTCTTCATTATTATTTTAATATTTATTATTAGTAATGAATTTTGAAATTGGCTGCTTATTAAAACTCATAACATAACAAGTGCATTGTAATTTTGTTACAAAACAAACAATTAATATTGCTAAATCAGATGTATGAATAAGCCATGTTTAAAGTAATTACCTACCTATAATTAAATAGGAATCCTAATAACTCATTAATATGAAAAGTATTAAGACATTATAATAGACTTTCAAGCATGGCATTTTTATATAATAACAAGTTGAAAGCTACACAAACTTTTGAATTTTTATGAAGGAGGTTTTATTAAACCCATTTTTAAAAACACTATACACACATATACACACATATTGTTCTGTTACAGTGGCTTTCGAAATAAAATATCGTAATGAATAATGTAACAATAAATTTGTCCTACCTTGATAGTTTGTCCTTCAACAGCACTGCCGTTCAACTGTAGTGCTTTGATAATAGACTCCTGTTCCGTCATCTCAATCAAAGCATACCTCTGCTTATCCACTTCCCGGTCACAAAACCTCATGTACTTAACTTCACCAGCTTGACAAAAGTGATCAATTAACTGCTGAGAGGTCAACGATTCCACATCTCCAACTAGAACTGTTCTTCTGATTTCTTCGATCTTCCTCGAGTCGTAAGTCGCCGGTAACGGCGGATATGGTGGTAGACCTAACGATACCATCTTCGGGTCATGAGTTTGAATTACCTGATTTGGTGGAACACCATCCAAGGCGTTAATAACGTGCGCTGGCAAACGTGGTTCAACAGTACTCAGTCCTGGTACTAAAGTTCCATTGCTCGACATCTCCAAAGCCTTGTGCTCGTCAGGAATCTCTCCCGATTGCATTGGAATAACAATAAGAGCACGATCAATGAACACGGTGTTCGTCATATGCTGCGCCACATTCACAGTTGCCGAATCGTAATATTTTACGTAACATATTCGAGACTGCACTGGACACGACACATCTCTGATAGTTGGATACAACCTTATGTCGTCGATCTTGCCCAAATATCCGAAAAGTGTTTGCATCTGATCTTTGGTGGCCTGGGGAGCTATGTTGGTGACTTGAATCACCCTCGTGCTTCCCGAAACCATTTTCGATGATTTGCACATTAAAACTACAAATTATGAACACTCAGAACTTAAATAATCGTTTTAAATACATTAATAATTAATTTTAACACTACATTTTCAACAATAAAGCGAAAGAACTCTCGCAAATTATTTTTACAAGACAAATACCACGCTCACGCTTGTCGTTGTCGCTCGCTTTCACCATAGACTATACAATATATGCTTTCACAGATTAAGTATTTTTTCTAGCAATTTTATCTATGCACAGACTCCATAGAGTTCAAGTTCACAGACTATAAAGATATAGAGTAGTGTTACCAACTATTAAAAGCAAAGGTCAAAGACCTTGTACTTAAAACCTTGTACTTTAGAGTATAAGGTCTTTGGCAAAGGTACCCTTAAAATATAAAAAAAGCAATTAAGTAGGGGTCAGTATATTTTTTTTTTTGATAAATAGTAGGTACATATTTAATTGCATTACACATAAAACTTTCATAGGACATCTCATAAATAGTGTCCGATTAACTTTAAGAAATGATTAACTTTTAACACTAATAATCACTTTTTTTTTAACTTACATATTAAAAATTCCTTTTTATAGCTAATAGAGAGCTAGTAAAAAATCTGAAATTTTCTCTTAGGGCAGCATAATTTTTTCCTCTAAATTTGGGCATACTCCTAAGGTGGCAAGCGCTGCCCATAAACAATAAAGGCATATAGATACATTGAAATGTACAAAATATTAATTAAAAATTTTAAGCAAAATTATTATTAAATGGTAGTCAGCAACAAGAAATATTTTTAATGATAACCTTGAGATATTTACGTTTTTACTCACAGTTTTACCGCAATGTTTTATCAATCTGTGGATTTTCCTAAATGCTGACAGCTGACTAATTTATTGTAATCGGTGGCTGGCAGTTTTGGCGCCAATTCCGAATTCACACTATTCACAGTTAGTACATATATGATAGAAGTTTTACTTCACAAAAATTAAAGATGATGAATGAAAATGATTCACTAGATTCGTTGAAAATGCGACTTAAATCTGGTATGTAAAATTCTAGTTATGTAGCTTCTAAACTTTCACTTTTCTTTTTTGGCATCAATATTTGCTTATAAAAATGGGCCATAAAACGGCACATTTACCCGTCAATACTTATACTTATAAAAAATCTAGATTCTATATGAAGCCCATCACATAAGATATCATACCCGGGTCTGAATCGAATCGTCACAGTATTCATAGAACTATTTCAAACTAAAAATGTATACATTGACTTATTTAATTATTTTATGTAAATAGAACATCGATCACTAATAAGTTCTTTATTAGTGATCGATGAAATAGAATGACGAAGATCGTCTCTAAGTAAGTGTGGGAGAGCTATGATTTGGCACGAATGGGTCGGCTTGACCGGAGGCCCAATCCTTACCCTTCCCAATCTCAAAATTTCCAAATCCCTTCTAGTCCCCAAAAGGTCGGCAACGCTTTTGTAACTCCTCCGTTGTTACGGGCATGGGCGGCGCTGATTGCTTTCCATAAAGTAAAAGCGCGCTTGTTTGCCGACCTATCACATAAAAAAATGTGGTAGCTTTAAGGACGGACGGATCACAGTTTCGACGACCGGACGAAGTAGGTATTAAAGTGCTATGCTCTGACACAAGATTGGTTGGTTGATTGGTTGGTTATTCTGCTAACCGTGCAATTAAAAATAAAAATAAATCGATATCCATCAATCTTTCAATTAATTGAAAAACGTGTAAGCTTATATTTCGAAAGAGTTGGTTAAATTGAAGTTTTTCTAGATTAACTTACAAAAATATTTAGGTAGATACCTACTTACTCAAGTTACGTCTAGGTATCTTTGATAGATAGGTACTCCATACAACTTATGTAAAAATCCAAAGGGTTTACGAGGGTTAATTAAAAGGTTTTAAGAGTTCCAGGTTCCACCCTAAAAGCGTTGAGTGTTATCGCGTTCGATATACCTAGTACTGAGGTTTTTCCTAACTTGGGCCCTATGGTGGTCTAATGGGTCATAAAGTCGACTACGAAACGCTTCGCGCTTTTCGCTCAGGTCTGGTGTTTATCGGAACGGCGAGCTTACCCTTGCCCGACGCCTCGATCCACTGTAAGTCAGCTTATATAGCTGTTGTTTTATTACAGTTAATAAGCAGAAGTTGTCGAAAGAGAGGGAGGTATTACAATTGCGTAATAAAGAACGATCTCTAACAGAAGAACTTCATACCACGAGAGCTGAAGTGGACCAGCTTACAGAGTGTCTTGAGGTTAGTCTAACTAAGTAAAAGGCTATCAACAGACTTGAAATTTAATAAACAGACGAAAGTGCTAACTTGATTGTTAACCCTCCCGGAGGCTATAATGTCTGTATGCCCCAAGTTTGTTGACAGGACAGGACAGACAGGACGCGAGTGCGAAATCTGGCTAAATTACCACCATGACTTTTTTAAGCCACAAGTTGGAACTTCTTTGGTTTAAATGACACCATTGACGTCACAGAAAATTTTGGCAAAATTTGAACATTTTGAATTAAAAATTTAGAATTTTTGAAATTGCCAACCTGCCTGTGATTATTTTTTTTCGTGTGAGCAGATTGCTTGTTCCGCAATGAGACGGTAAGGTGCAGGCTGAGTGACCACTTCTACTTACTTATAAGGCATAACTACATATAGACTGTTATCTAAAAAGCAATCGTTTAATTTCTTTAGCACTTGAAAAATCAAATAGCTCAAAGTACGCACCAGATTTCAATGATAGAGATGTGCAAGGTCTCAGAGGATTTGAAGATTGAAGCACATATTGATGTCCTCAATGAGCACTTGAGAGGTTTCCAGCAGCTGTTTGAAAGAGGTTAGTCAAGATGTTTAATTTATTAACCAAATTAGTACTTACCCATTTCAACTCTCGGGATTATGATTCGGTTCGGTCAGTGTAAAACATCGCTTGTGTTGTATTTTGCCCTATCCTCCCTTTCTCATCTCTCTAATTCAAATAATCTGATCACTTATCGACCGGCAACATACTTGTAATTCGCCTCTGGTGTTTCGGTTTCCATAAGCAACGCCGATTGCTAGCGATTATGGTATTTTTTAGTTAGGGTAAAATCATTAAATGACGCCTGCCGCCCAGGGTGAGTCGAGAGGATACATCAGACTATTACTGAATAAATCCCCTCCGTCCCGTTCCCTGCTCTAGTACGAGTCCGCGGTTTCTCATAGCGCTAACCTCGCAACCCCCTGTGGTTGTCTATTGGCTCTTTGGTGCGTTTTGCGTTTTTACCTACCCACATTTAGTGAATTACCTAAACCGATAGGCCATAGGCGATATTTTGCATGTTAGTTTACCACCCTATCTAAGCCATAAAAAGTCTGGTTAGCATGTATCACTTCGTATAAACATAATCAAACCACGTCTAAACAAATTTATCTGTAAGTGTTCGTAAGTGAAATGTAAATACGTAAAACAAAATTAATATGTCTATGTACTATGTCTATTGACGAATTTCAGGGGTACCTATAAGAAGCAAATGGCCATATTATTGAAAATCAATAAAGCCTTTGCTATTCTAGTTAAACTAGTGCATCGAACTCTTTGTGTATTACGACGAACCCGACATAGACTATTATTTTAATATAAAAAATAATGGTTTTCATGAACTAGTGCCATAGCTATACGCTATACTAGCTACTCTCACGCGGTTTCACCCGCTGCTCAGCTCCATTTGATCGTAGCGTGATGCTTTATAGCCTATAGCACTCAGGAATATTGTAGTAGGTATCAGTAAAAGAATTTTGGCAATTCGACCAGTGGTTCCAAAGATTACCCCCTCAATTTTTACTAAGTATTTATTTTAAAAATTTTAGAATGTTCCATAAAAACTTCCACTCCTCATTTAAGGAAAGCAGAGACTAGTAGAGAATTATTCTTATGGCTGATTTTTCAATGGTTAGATAAAAGTTATCTGGGGAATAATTATGATGCTGTCGCGTCAGAACGTTTGTATAAGACAGTGACAGCAACTTATTCCTTAGATAATATTTATCTGACTGTTTAAAAATCAGCCCTTACTTTTATAAATTGTGACAGATTTGCTATAAAAGGAAATGGAATACCAGTCTAAGGTCCAGCTGGCTATTAAAGTCACGTATTCGATGTTTCTTTTTTTCTCTCTTCTACCTTGGGCAACACTAAAGTTATAGAGTTGGTACTTTTGTTTTGTTGTTGTTTTTATTTGTTTGAGTTTGTTATAGAGTTGGTTAAGACTGCAGTTTATCATTTGCTTTACGTTATATCTAAACGGTAGGCTGGTATCCGAAAGTTGAATAATTTATTTATAGTCTTTTGGTTTGGTTTATATGTTAATTGTTACGGAAAATGCGTCGCTTATCGTCTAACGCTAAACCTTATAGATCAAGTACTTGTCAAGTGTATAATATCCATGATTTATGTTTAGCTCCTTATAAACAAATGGCTTTTTCGGGTATCTACTTACTTAGGATCATTATGCAATTGATCAAAATCACCACAAGATTTGTTCGTCCAACTCTACGATAAATGATTGATGACTCTTCCAGTTATTTTAAGTAGCCTTAGTTTTGCTAGAGCCTGATCTACATTTCCCCCTTGTTAAAGTTTTTTATTTTGTTTCAATGCCAATTCAAAAATCGGCCTTGGGTTTTTATCTGTACTAGAACACGCCTAAGTTGTCTTGGTAAAAATTTTTGGATGTAAAGTTTTATACGTATTTACCTTTTTTGTAGATCAAAAAGAATTAGAGAATCGTATTAAAGAACAAAAAGAGAAAGAAGCAAAACAGCTAGAAGAACTGAGGGAACAAGAGAAGAAGTTAGCAGAAGAAAAGGAACGGCAGGATAGAGAAGTTGCCGCTATCGAAGAGGAATGCGAAGCTATCGAGAAAGAATGCACAGTGTTAAAAGTAAGGGTAGATGTAAATATAAGTATTAAAATAATAATATTTTGTCGATTATGGACGAAGTTATCATGACGAATAACTACCGGAGATTTATTGTGAAGGACGGCACGGCTGACATCTGTCGGGCATGTCACCGTCCGGGAGAATCAATTCGTCACATAATCTCTGGTTGTTCTCGTCTAGCTAACGGCGAGTACTTGCATAGGCACAACCTTGTAGCTAGGATCATCCATCAGCAGCTTGCTCTGAAGTACTCTCTTGTGGGATCGGAAGTGCCGTACTACAGGTATGAGCCCGACCCAGTTCTTGAAAATGGTCATATCACCTTGTACTGGGACCGGTCTATCATCACTGATAGGACTATTGTGGCCAATAAGCCTGATATTGTGGTGGTGGACCGAAACGAGAGGCGTGCAATGATTGTTGACATAGCCGTCCCACATGACGAGAACCTCGTGAAAGCTGAGAAAGATAAACTAATCAAGTATATTGACTTGGCACGCGAGGTTGTCGACATGTGGGATGTGGATTCGGCAGTCATTGTACCGATAGTCGTGTCAGCCAATGGCTTAATAGCCAAGAGCCTCGACCAACATCTTAGGAGGCTCTCGTTAGGTGGCTGGATTAAGGGCTTGATTCAGAAAGTGGTACTCCTGGACACGGCTCGTATTGTCAGGAGGTTCCTTTCTCTGGAGCCCTGACCGCCGGTAGCTAGGACCCTGTTCCCGATACCGGTGGGACACTATTTTTTTATATTTTTAAATGTTTTTTTTTTCTTTTCAATTTTTAAGAAATATTTAAAAATGTAAATTATATGTTTATATGTTGAATAAAGAATATTTTGTCGAATGTATAAAGTTGTTGTAGGTACTTGAAGTCAGTCAATTGTCGGAATGTATAAAGTTATCGTGACAAAATCTATAAGATATAATCTTACTTACCTATAATAAATCTGTAGAGAGGTCAATTCTGTATCATGAAATATATTTGCAAAATAACTACCGGGGTGTGATTAGTGATCGATACTGATGCCAAAATTGCAATCAGTAAAAATTTCGTCTGTCTGTCTGTCTGTATGTTTCTTATAGAAACAAAAACTCAGTGACGGATTGTAACAAAACTTGGTACAATTATTCTTTATACTCCTGGGCAGGTTATAGGATACTTTTCATCACGCTACAAATAATAGGAGCAGAGCAGTGAAGGGGAATGTTGGGAAAACGGGAGAAATTACTCGCTTTTTAACCGACTTCAAAAAAAGGAGGAGGTTCTCAATTTGATTGTATGTTTTTTTTTTATTTTTTTTTATGTTTGTTACCTCAGAACTCCGTTTTTATAGACGGATTTTTTTTATGCTTGAAAGGATATGTTTCCAGATTGGTCCCATTCTTTTCAAAATCGAGTTTTGATGATAGGATCCATGAGAAATCGAGGGAACTCCTCAAATATTATAGGCAACTATATAGTAATTTTAATATTTTCATGGAGCACTCAAGCATTTACAGTAAAAAAGTAATATTTGATGAGGTGGAACTGGTGAAGAAGATCAGAAATGGGTGACGAAACTTGACACTCGCATAGATATCACAATCAAGGTAGTTAAGCAACTATGAACATGCACTATAAACCAATGATCTTAAATGATTATGTTGAAAATGTTATCATCCAACTGATCTAATGATAATGATGGAGCTGGAAGGTAGGCACTGGAACTGCGTACCTAATGAATGTATCGTAGCCTTGTTTGGGCTTGTTAGAATTGTTATAAGATGTACTTTGGCTTTAAGGTACTATTGAATTGATGTGATGATGAAGCTGGAAGGTGGGAGGTTGGCATGGGAACTTCAAAATAAAATAATGAATCCTAGTATTGTTTAAGCTTATTAGAGCTGTCAAGAGCAATGGACAGGGCTACGCTCGGAGTTTCCTTGCAATGTAAAAAAATGTATTTAATCATACTAAAATAGATTGCATAGCGTTGATATCATTGAACTTTATCTGTCTGTTGATGAAAATATCTAGTATTTTGTTATTTTGCGAGAACTAATTTGTATTTATGAAAAGATTACTTTTTAATTTTAACTATAAGAATCATAAGTATTTCATGCATCATATCATCTCTTCTCGAGATCAAACGATTACACTGTAAGAATGTACCGATGATATTTATTCCTACTTATCTACTTATATGACATTGGTAACTTTTTCAAAAGAAATGTAGGAACGATATTGACTTCGTTGCCTTAGCACATTTAAATAAAAAAAACACTAAACGGCAAGAAAAAAAAAATTACAAAAAAACCGCCTTCAAAAAAAGTCAAGCGATAAAAGTTCCTACACTAAAAAGTCAAAAATAAAAATTTGAAATGCTGTAAAGAAGCTGCCAGCATTTTTAATGTATAAAGTTGTCGGTTCTTCTTCAACACTGAAAATTATAGATACAAAATTAAATCTTTAAATTTTAAAATTTATTTATTAAAAAAATAAGATTTATTATTTACTAGCTTCCGCCAGCGGCTTCGCCCGCGTGCTGTCTTGATGCAAAGCAGCCTATAGCAATAGAACAAAATCGAAGTAGCTATACATAATATTTGTTATTAAACATCTCATTTTTATGGGTACATTTCCAATGGGTAGGTAAATACCCTATTACTTACTAAGTCTCGGCTATCCGTCCGTGCACAGATAGAATATTACTTAACTAATAGGTAAGTATTACAAATATTTCATAAAACCTAATATATTATATTACATTTTGTACCACGTCGCGTCGAGCGCGGCAACCGTTATGCAAAAATAATCCTTATAGCGAGAGTTACATACGTGCTATTGTGAGTTAACCATAAAAGGTAGACATATGCTGTAGAACATTTTTTTAGATTATGTTATGTAAAATATTTCCGTGATACATTATTTCTATGTAACTTTAACCATTAAGGCTACACACGCGACGAAAACTTAAAAAAGGGAGTAACTTCTCCCGTTTTCCCAACATTTTCCTTCACTGCTCTGCTCCTATTATTTGTAGCGTGATGAAAAGTATCCTATAACCTGCCCAGGAGTATAAAGAATAATTGTACCAAGTTTTGTTAAAATCCGTCCAGTAGTTTTTATTTCTATAACGAACATACAGATAGACAGACAGACAGACAGACAAAAATTTTACTGATTGCATTTTTGGCATCAGTATCGATCACTTATCAACACCTGGTAGTTATTTTGAAAATATATATAATGTACAGAATTATTGACCTCTCTACAGATTTATTGTAATTTATTATTTATAACTTAATTTTGTTTTCAACTTCCATTCTTCGGAATTCAAAATTCAAACTTTGTATCCTGGGTATATGATGATGATGATTTATAACATAGTCAATTTTAAATTATAGGTACTTACGAATGTCTAAAAAAGCAAAAACATACGAGCAAATCGAAGTCTGAAAATAATTAAATGAAATCTGAGTACATATTGTTTCAGAAAAGAAATAACGCTATCATGTTGAAATTGAGGAAAAGACTGCTCGAGGTCGAAAATGCAAGACGCGAAGTAGTGAAGAGGAATGCTGCCCAACTGAGCAACAACAATGAAGATACAAATAAATAATAAAAAAACTAATGTGAAGGCTTTAATATTTATCAGTCATTTCTTAGCTACCTACTCTTTTAATAACATGTAAAATATAAATGGTATGTTACCTCTTGTTCTACTGTTGAGTAGTTTAATTAAAGTCTTGTTATAATTAAACTTAGTAAAATTTAAAGAACCTCCTCCTTTTTACGAAAACACCATCATAATCCTGCTAATTATGAATGCGAAAGTGTGTGAATATGCATTGATACATAGATGGATGGATTGATGAATTGATGGATGGGCGTTTGTTACTCTTTTGTGTTAAAACTCTGAACGGATTTGGATGAAATTTGGGACAGAGATAGATTAGTCTAGGTGGAGTTTCACATAACGGTCCTTTTTCCTAGTAACGCGGGCGACGCCACTAGCAGAAACTGTACCTGTTTTGATAAACTGTTTATACTATAAATAAAAACACGTTTAGTCATAAAATCAAAGATTTATTTTAATAATTAATGGAATAAATAATAGCTACACATTTTGTTTAAGTTACAGTCGATTTAATTGATATTGATTACAATTAGTGGTGATGATTTTTCAATAGCAAATAATTTTATTGTGGTTTATAATCAATTGCTAATTTCTGACTGGTTTAAAAATCACCGCCAGAGTATCATCATACTAGCACTACATAATATTTGCGCGGTGACGCATTCATTGCGCACACGCTCCGTTATGAAGTCTTTCGCAATCTTCAAGTATGGTAAGACCTTTATTTAACTAGTAAATCTTATGATATTCCTTGATAACCAGAAATACAATTAAAAATAGACGCAGTTATATTACCCAATAGATATACTTTAGGCGTTAATGCAATTGGATTCTTTTTGACTGATACTTGTGTCAGGGGTTACATAGGTCTCAGGATTGTTGGTAGGAGCCATAGGGATTTTAATAGACTCCGATTAATAAATTATTCTCTATCACACCAAAATGCCTCCAAAAATAATCGCTTTATCAGAAATCTGTAATATTCAGGAAATGCTACATATTTCAAAGCATATTTTGGTAATTTCATGATGGAGACTGTCAAAGGGTGACCAGAGCCTAAAAGTCTTGTAAATTATTTTGATAATACGTTAATCCCGTTGATTAAATATTACCTACGTACATACATAGGGCCTAAAATAATCTAAGAAAAATAATACCTAATAATGAATAGGTACCTCTATCAAGTAAAGTTTACCTATGTAAAAAATGACATTACTATATACTTTTTTTTATTTCTTCAATGGCAACCGAGTCTCCAATTATTAAATTTGGGTTAAATCTTCCGGTGTACAGGTGATTCAGACATAATATCAATGTCATAAATAAAAAACACATTATTTTTATGAAATAAGTCTTCAAAAGTGCTGTTTGACCTCCGAGTGGTTAGCAATCGGCGCTGCCCATGGACACTCGTAATATCGTGTAAGTTATAAGTGTGTTGGTATGGTTCAAAGAATGGGGGAAGGATTGGACCTCCGTTAACGTCACTCACAGGGCGAAGTACAACGTTACTGTTGGTTGACGCCGGTATTCTGTGGCGTTTGACTCTGATCAAGTCGTTCACCATTCGTGCCGAAGCACCGCTTTCCCACACTTGTTTACATTTAAATAAAAAAATGTAACTTCCAATATCCGTTGAGCTTTAAAAGTCCAACTGAAGTAATAATGCTACGCTTCTTTTAATCCAATGGGCTGATGGTTTGTCCGATGGTAAATAAAATGCTAGAACGAAATTAGACGAATGTCCAGTTGTAGCCAATACTCCTTTTCTTTCTAAAGTCTTATACAAGGGACACTTGTATCTCGATCCTTCCTCAAACTGCTTTTTTAATTTGGGGAAAAGCCACACAACTGGAATACTGTCATTAAGCAATTTTGGGAATTGCTCCGCAATAGTAAAACTATTTCGATCCCAACGCCCACCATCCATAAAGAGTCCCTGCACGTATACGCCCGAGTCGGGTGGCAGATCTTCGTAATCTGTTTTACGTACCTCAAAATCAAATATTAATAAATCTATAGGAATTTTTTTTGCTCTTGCGTAATTTTGTATAGACCCTGTGAGAAAAGCTTGAGTGAAGAAAAACCCAGACAGCCAAAATGTCGGCGGTTTCCCATTTTGATACCAGTCATTTAACATAGCTAAGCGTTCAATGAAGTCTGTTACGTAACTAGGTAGTGGTTTCAAACTGGGATAGGAAACTTTACGCCAATTATCAGGAATTTTTCCCAGTATCATTGCGTTTGATTGCAAATCCAATGACAAAGACATTACAATAAGGCCTTTCACGGCTTTTTGTAAGTCCAGTAATGAAACTTTTATTTCATTTAATAATTTGTTAAACCGTTCCATCTCTTGAATTAACACTGTATTCATAGATTCACTGTAATCCACAGGGTACTTTTTTTGGGCAGTTTCCACATCGAACGCTTCGGGAAGCTTAGAAAGAATTTCAGCAGACATTTGAACGAGGAGGGCTTCTGTATTGCCACCCTCTCCACCACCACCGCCACCTTCTACGAGAACCAAAGCTTGTGTTAATTCCATGGACGTGGTATAGTCGCGAGTTATTCCTGCATTCATATGCAGTCCGAATACTTCAGGAGGGGGATTTACAGGAACGCTTTCAATATGTTTTAGATAATCTTGATACTCACACCTTCTTGGTAAGCCATATTGTGGACCAATGTCACAAAATGTGTAATTCGGGTCATTTACTACACTCGGATTTACATAGTTGTCTAAGATTGTTACAATTAAACGACGATCCCAATCATCGGTCACTCTGCCACCATAATTACATTCGCCTGTCAAATACTTAATGGCTACATACTGTATCTCTTCGTACTGATTTAAAAACATTTGTAACTGCATCACTGATATTTGAAAATCGGAATCATTAAACCCGTATTGAATATTCCATCCTAGTGGTCCAAATTTTTTTCTTTCTTGTACAACAGCATGAAAAAAGCTAATTCCGTATAAGAGCTTGCTGAATATTTTGTCTTTACCGGGGCAACCTTCATAGAATTCAGGTTCTTTTACAGGTTCATTTATATAAGAACGGTTTAAATTATGTTGGAGTCCAGTTGGTGGCTCATTTGTCATTTTAACAGCTACTTGTAACACAGCCTGCGGAAACTTTTCAGATGGATAACTTGTCAACCATAATCTAAAACTTAAATCTGTATTTGTCAAATCAAAACCTTCTATAAGTTTTTCAAGTGTTGGAAGCCACGATACTGCTAAATGACAGTTTTGCAAACATACCCAGCCACCTTCAAGTTGGGCTTTTTCAATCAATGCTTGTGCAATAGGTCCTTGACCTTGTCCTAAAGATATAGAATTAAATCTATGAGAATACCCCATTCGTTCACAATATTTTATCAGTGCACCCATCGGGTCTGAGCCTGGAGATAATATGAATATTAACGGTGCCAAACAATTAGAATCTCCAAATGATTTACCTATATCAAAGGGTGGTGGTGTTATGTATTTTCGACCCATTTGCTTTTCCACAAACTCTGAAATGGCTGCTGTCAATTTATCAGGCCTTAAAATCCTCACAACCAACAGCTTTTGAAATTGAGATAAATTATCTTCCCACACCCCTGGAAGCCGTCTATTATGTGGTTCCATATCGTCATAAACCTCCTGCCATAGATGATCATTTCGAATAAAATCATCACGGAATCCTGCAAACGAGTGTAGGTCATTTATTCGGCATATTTCATCCCAACTTTTATCGGGCAACCAGTCTAAGGGTTTACGTAAGTGATTTTCTACTGCTATACCGCCTGTTATAAGAAAAATATGTTCTTCTAAATTAATCTCTCCAACAGCAAGCATCATTTTAGAACACATGACGTATGAAAACATAAGTTTATCTTTGTCAAACAATGACCTGCATACGTTACTGTATAAATTATAAGTGAAGGTTTCTTTTAGGAACTTTAATCTTTTGTCTAAATCTTTAGATTTATTAGCATTTTCAATCGAAATGACGTAAAGATTGATGAACCATAATAATGAGTATTGATACATAGGATCTACATTGGGTAATTCAGTAACGCAGTAGTATAAAACAGCAGAGTGTGAAGCTATTGGCCGATAACCATGTCGGAATTTCTCTATTATGACTTCAGTCTCTAAACTAGCTTCTTGCTTTTTCATAATATCAACAGCCAATAGTTTTGATGAGTCCAGCACTTCAATAGCAGTTTCATCTTCTAGTATATCACCTTTCGTTTCTTGTAGGGTTCGTAAGATATCATCTTCTACTTGTTTTAATGCAGCTCGATTACCTGCACTTTGGACTATAAGCTTTTCTCTTTTCTCTTGTAAATCCGGTCGTTCTTTTGCTACTACTATACCTAATAACTGGTCTTCTAATCCATCTTTAGTTAGAGCGAAATTGATTAACGTCACTTTATTGAAGATTTCGGGTAAGTAGTGTGGATTTCTTAATTTAGTTGTCATATATAATCTAAAATTTGGATGATATTCAATCACGTTATCCCCAAGAGCGATGTATTCCTTACCTCCTTGGACGTATGTATTTTTAAGTAAAATTGGATCTAACGGTGCTTCTACGTCTTCGAGTATACATTCAATTAGAGCAGGTTTTCCATACTCTAAACAAGTTTCAATCACTTTCATGTAATTACCATCAGAAAATTTTAAAACTTGCAAATCATTAGCTTTTTCCATGGTTTTTATCCATTTGTTTGCTTGACCTTGCGGGTCTATCATTAATGACCACCGCATAGAGTTGTCTTGAATAACGCCATTATCAACTGAGAATGAATCCCTGGGTAACCCAGCAATGCACCAATTCTGAATTTTGATGTCAGTGCCTAATATGTCTTTGAATACGAAAACTTCAGAATGTGGCATTTTTAACTTTATAACCAATTCCCGCCATTTATCAATCATTTTTGTTCTTACAGGCAACGTGTAGGGTGCTAAATAAGCCATGATT